TGCCAGTTCGGGGGGACCTGGTTCAAGGGAAGGTACTTGCGGGAGGTGGGGCTGTACACCCGCAGGTTCCACTCGGGGGCGGTCACAGGGACACACTTATTTTCGTTGGTGAGGGTGTGTGAGAAAGGGCAGCACTTGGAGACGGTCACGTTTCTCGCGGCGTCGGCGGCGGCCACGAGGAGGAGGAAGAGTGGCGGCATGTCATTGAAGGTTGAGGATTACCGTAGCTACTAACTGCGAGACGCGCAAAACAAGACTCTCACTTACAGAAAACAAACGAGGACGGAAATTTCAATTATCCCACGAGAAAAGAATAAACACATTAAATTAAAAAAAAAAAAAAATACAAAACTGATGACGGTTCTTTGGAGTATGGGCCCAACTCAATAAAACCCGATATGGAGCCGGATTTATTAAACAATAATATAGATGAATTTCTCACCGATCTAGTTATTATCGAAAGTGAGAAAAATATTATACAGGAAAAAACTGTTGACCAATGTGTTTCGCTCGAGTGGAATGAAATTAGGCGCAAAAGAATCGATTCTTCAATTTTTGATAAAATATATAACATGTTGCCCTATACTAGTTGTGAAAAAACTGTTAGTTCGATGCGGGGTAAAGATCACGAAACCGATCCATTACAGCCTTAGAAGACCAATTGGGTATAAAAGTTAGTCGATGCGGTTTATTTGTAGATTTAGAAAATCCATTTTTATGCACAATACCTGACGGTTTAATTGATAATAATGGTATAGTAGAAGTAGAGTGCCCTTATTTTACACGTGACATGACACCTGACGAAGCCATATTCGAGAAATTACTTATTTATACATTAGATAAAAAAGGGAAAACCACTTTAAATAAAAAACATAAGTATTACTTTCAAATTCAAGGTCAATTACATATTATTAAGAGAGAATATTGTATTTTTGGCATGTGGACAACAAAAGCGATCAAAATCGACAATAGTTATTTACATTATAAATGCGGTAGGTTACATTTTACAACGCGAAGATTTAATATTGAAACACGAGGCGAAGCCGTATAAATTCAGAAATTTTGTTTGTGTTTACTGTTTGCATTGATGAATTGCTAATTGTTAATTGTAGGGTGTGATAAATATTGTTTTCTAGTACAGGGCTTTTAACAAACGTAAGAATGTATTAATACATTATTTATTTTACATATAATTAATTAAAATCATTGCAGAATTTTTTGGTTTTGAAATGTCTGGAAATTCTTACGATAGTGGTGACGGTAATTGTTCAGACACTGCGGGCCCTAGCAAACCAAAAAATATAGATATAGAAAAAAAAAGTTCAATGAAGACTAGCTTCAGATTGAAGAATTTAAAGGTTGACTAGAAAGAGTTGAAACTACCCCTTACAAATGTAAATGTACTGCTTGCAATACTATAATTCGTTGCGGCAACTCGGAATTAACTAAACATTGTAGAGGTGCGGGACATAAAGAAAATGTGCAAAAGAGGAAACAGAACCACTCTATGAGCGACTTTCTTGCAAAACAAGCGAAGCGGAATGAGGATAAGCAAGTTCAAGAATTTGAACTGGGGTTAAGTATGTTTTTTGCAGAACATAATGTTGCGCTTCAAATTGTGGATCATTTAATCCCGTTATTAAAAACTATTATTCCAGACTCAAATATAATAAAAAAGTCAGAATTCGGTAGGAAGAAATGTACTAGTCTCGTAAAGAATGTAATTACACCACATATCCAAAAAAATCTCGTTGAAACTTTGAAAAAGACTAGCTTCTCAGTAATGATAGATGAAAGCACAGACATAGGCCTAAACAAGGCAATATGTGTTCTTGTGAGATATATAAACCCCACAACTCAAGTAGTAGAAACTGAACTACTACAACTTCTGCAATTAGATGCAACAAATTGCAATGCTGAATATTTATTCGGTCGTTTAAAAACTCTGTTGCAGGATTTAGACATTCCATTTCAAAATGTTATAGGAATGGCAAGTGATGGTGCCAGTGTAATGGTGGGTGCCAACAATTCAGTTGCTTCAAGGGTCATTAAAGAAAATCCATCTGCTGTTATTATAAAGTGTGCCTGCCACACTTCAGCTATAATTGCCAACAAAGCTTGTTTGACTTTGCCAAGAGCTCCTGAGGAACTTTTACCGCTAATTTCGGCATATTTTTCCCAAAGTTCCAAGACAGTTACAAGAAATACAACAGTATTTTAACCATGAAAAAAAGAAAATGTTGAAGATGTCTACAACGAGGTGGCTATCATTACGTCAATGTGTTAACAGAATATTGGAAAATTGGGAAGTGTTGAAAAATTACTTCAGGGTGGTAGTAGTGAGTGACAAAGTAAAGGCTGCTGAGACAATTATGGATGAATTAAACAATATCTGCAATAAGGCGTATCTTCTATTTTTAAAATATGTGCTAAATTATTTTAATTCCCTAAATGCTTTGTTCCAATCTGAAAAACGGCTAATCGTAGAATTATACAGTGATTCAAAAAAACATTTTTTTAGATTGGGTCAAAATTTTATAAAACCAAAAAATCTTACTCTTGAGGTAAATGGAAACAATCCAGAAAAATTTCAAGCATTAGAAACAATTTTTTTTGGTTGTGAGTGTAATGACTTGATTGAAGGAAATACCAGACAATCAGGCGCATAAAATAAGGTCAGATTGCTTAAAATTTTACATTACTGCTTTGGAGAAAATGCAGAACAGATTGCCCATACAAAATGATTCCTTTTTTAAAGATATCCTGTTTTTAAAGCCAAAAACTGCTCTGGAAACTGAAAATAAAAGTGATTTTAAATTTGACTACATTTGTAATAAATTCAATATTAGACGTTAATGATACCATTTTGGAATGGCGCAATCTGCCTTACCATTTTGAAGAAATAGATAGAAAACAATTATCTGAAAAGACCGTAGATGAATTTTGGTTACAAGTATGTAATTGCCAATGAAATAAATTTTCAAGATAAATTTGTTTTTCCTAATATAACCTTATTGGCGAAAAAAATACTTGTTTTGCCCCACGCTAACGCAGATAGTGAACGCATTTTCTCTATCGTAACTGACGTCCAGACAAAAAAGCGTAATAGACTGTCTCATGAAATATTAAATTCTATTTGTGTTATAAGGTCACATTTATGTAATAAAGCAATGGTCTTTTAAGTGCAATGCAGAAATGTTAAAAAACATGAAATACGATGTGATATATGATCACAAAAAGAAATGAGTGATATACCGAAATGTACCAATGATAATTATTATTAACCAAAGAAATTTATTGTTTTCTATTTTCAGCGGAATGTAATGTTATTTTTATTACATTACTTAAATTGAACAAAGCTTCGAATATATCTCCTATCCTTGCATTAAATGTCATAAATATTTGAACAATGGGACTTTAATAGCATACTCATACTAGTTGAGGACCACCAAGTTTAAATTGTACTTAAAATAAATAAAATCGTGACAGACGTTGACTACAAAAAAAAAACTATCTCAAATGCGATAAAAAGAGGAAAAGAGCGTGAGCTGTTGCCGAACGCCCGCAAACAAAATAAAGAAGCAATAAAAAAATGGCGCTTAAACAATAACACCGTTGATTAACTGACAATGTAGTCATGGGCGCAGAATCACAAAAAAAATCAAAAATGATATCTGAAGGTACTCATCCTAGCAGCAACGACGCAGCCTGATAATGCCACGAATAATTCAAAGCTCCAAGTCCTCCTCCAGGAGATTACAGAACTCCACACACTCCGTACGTCCCTACATGCGAAACAATAAGCCTCAAGTGGTAGCATTAATCAAAATTACCTTCATACAGGGAACGACTTCGGTTTTCGCCACCGCCAGACAGACAGCAATCTCAGGATTCGCCAACAATCCACCAAAGTCACAATCGGAACCACTCGCCTACTAAATGGTGATTAAAACGTCACTGTCCTCGATCAAAACTCGTGGTGGTCGCAACCATTGCTTGCAATTCGCTAAATGCACACCGAAACTTTCCTACGAAACGACGGTTGACAACCAAGAAAAAAGGAAGATGGTTTTTTATACCTGAACTACGCTTACTCCGACCTCTGCGTTCGCCCTTTCTGGGCTAAATCACGCTCCCAGGAGACGGTGCCAACACGGGAGAGTCCTTTCCACAATTCACACAAGACCCAAACAGGAACTCTCTGTCCACAATCCAGTTGTATGTCTTCTGGTTACCAGGAAAAAACCATTCCTGTTTCTCTCTTCGTGTAAAAATCCAACCCGCGAAAAACAAAGTCACTAGCAGTGTCGCCAACCGAGCGATTTTGCCGCTGAATTTAGCGGTTTTGTTGGACGTGTTATTAGAGTTTCCAAATTGACAGCATGGACGAATGAATAATTCTATTTTATATATTCTTTCCTTCATGATTGACACAGTACCGCCATTGGCATCGGCGCTAAATCGGAGTGAAAATGACGGCCCTTGTAATCTTGACAAGTCCGGTATTTTGAGACAAGATTTTAATTATCGCGCCTTGTGTGATAAACGTGATTGGATACCGTTGACAATTGTTGTGTTTCTGTCATATGTCTGTTTCAACAACAGATTGAAATCTATTTTTTTTGTAATTTATCACTTCAGAAGGATCTCGTTGTCAGACGACAATAGTTAGAAGTAATCGTAAAATTAGTTTAGCGAGATTATATGTAAACATTATCGCAAAGTTTGGAAATCGTGTTAGCGGAACGATGAATCTAACATTTTTAGAATTGGTAGTATGTGGATTTGTGCTGCGTGTGGATTATGTTGTTCCTTGTTGTGACATTGTTGTACTGGTTGCAAGTTTGAACAAATTTGTGAACTTATAACATGTAAGTAAACAATAATTGTGAAAGAAAAATATCAAAATGATCACACCAGTACTAAATTTAGTTTACAATATGTTCGCGGGAGCACGGCAATGCGTGTCACCCAACAACAATACAAGCTGTAGCTGGAGGAATACGCGATCTAAATGATCTGATACGACACCTGGTGTCAAAAATGTGCACTACTCAGGAGCATAGTGAAAGATGTAAATACTGTTGGTTGTACAGTGAAATTTCGTTGTTTTATGTTAAACCAACAAAATTAAATAAGTTGGTCCCAGTATTCCTGAAAAAATGACTGTTAACAATACAAATTGTTGTGTTTTTCGCTGCCATAGCAAAAACAATAGAAACAGTGGGCTCTCTTTTCATAAATTCCCCATAAAAAACAAGTCATTTGTTTAAATGTTATGAACAGGTAAGTATTCATATCAACAGTAAATTTAGTTTAATCAGTATTTAACTAAATTGTTTTTGATTATCAGTATAATATGTATATATATATATTATATTTTTAGGTTAGGAATCAGGGAAAAAAATGGACAGATATAAGACTTGGATGGTAAATATGGGAAAACCAGCAACAAAGCACATGAAAGTGTGTTCACTACATTGTAATCAGGATGATTTCATATTGAGGATTTGATTTGAGGACCCAGGTGGGTTAGTTAGCTTCGTGCTTGCCCACTACACCTTGGGTCGTGGGTTCGATTCCCGCCTTGCCTTTTGGCTGTTGTGTATGTCATGTTTCCTGTAATTGGGCCTCCAGCTTGTTAGAGACATCATAGGATAAAATAAATAAAAATAAAAATATTACCTGGTAAGTACAGATTTGTGTAAATGTTGTTAATGTATAATAGACAATAAATGAAATATTGTAGATGTAAGTATCATTACTAAAGAATTACTACCTAGAAGGCCCAAAAATCGAGACTTTAAAGCAGTCAGAAGTACAACAATGAGAAAATCTGAAGGTTACATAATTTCAAGTACAGATAGTACTGATGTAAATTGCTTCGACAGCAGTCAGTTACATCAAAAAACTGTTTCAAGTATGTATACATTTGATGATATTTAAAAAATACAGATTATTTTCTAGCATTAGAAATGGAAACCGTGCAGGCTTTGTTACATTTACAAAATTCACAAAAAAAGGATAAAAATATTCAAGTGACAAGTGGAGATTTAGTGGCACCTTTTATAAGTACACTTAAATCTGATAATGATTTAAATACAATGGCTGGAATACCATCCTTTCTGTTATTTAATGCTATTGTTGCAAATTGTGAGATGTTTGGAAAATTCTGTAATAAACATAAATTAAACTTGAAAGAACGTGTTCTGTTAACTTTTATGAAACTGAAAAATACATTTTCTTATGCTGTTTTAGCAGTTTTGTTTAAAACGGTGACGGCAATAACCTGTAATATTATTCATGCTTTATTATTTTATTATTATGCATTATTCCACTCATACATAGTATGAAATGAACACTTAATTTAAAAAACAATAATCGCTATAATCAATAAAGTTTTCACAGAAGTTTTAACACCACATGATTTAGCATGTGTTCACTTAAAAAGTTAAACAAAGGGTTAATAAAATGAGAACTACAAAAAAAACTGACACAAACAACGAAACAGGCTGTAAACTGAACAAATCCACTACAAAAACGCTCGATTTATTAACACAAGACACTTTTTTCACACGATGGACACTTAAGACTTGCCATAAAGGATACGTCAAATATGCCTTAGAGCGGCCATGTTGCAGTTAACAGTGGCGCCCCCAACGGTCATTTAGTTCGCGTATTAGAAGGTAATGCCGATTTTAGATGTGGGAAGGGTTGGTCTTGGTAGTAAAACTATACTCTGTGGTAGGTCCACAGAAAAATGTTCAGCAACGGAGAAAGGTTTGTGTAATTAATCACCTGAACACTATTTTTAAAAATGTGTACTTTGATACAATTTATCCTACATTTATTGGCAATTATTCTGGTTACACCATCACCTACCTTTGTTTTAGGCAAAGTGAACCAATTGTATATCAACGTCCAAGATTTTAAAATGTCAGAAAGCGAAGAGTCTGTCGAGTTTGTCACCCCCACAACTGTGTGAACAGGCCAAATACCAAAATAAGTCAAACAAGTCGATTGTTTCAGGGATTTTTGCTACTGTTTAAAGTTGGATTATAATTTAACTGTTAATAATGGTATTAAAATGTATTTTAATTTACTTTTAATATATATATAAAACCTGTATTGTAAGACAAAGAATTGAGCAATAAAATAAATTGCGTTATGCATTATAAATATATATTTCTAATATTAGTACGGCGTGGATCAACAAGTTCTGGTAAAAGACACTTTGTATAAAAACTGGTTAACTTTTATTCGATCTGAATTTTCCAAAATTCTTCATCTCTTGAAATGTAGGTACACTACTTTCATTTTCTGTGGTCCAGTCCACACACCTAAAATACATACATTCTTTTTTCCTGGTAATGTGAATTTAGTAATACCAGTCGTGCTTTTTGTTAATAATGATTTCGCCAGATTTGTTTTGCCGCCAGAAAGTTATTTTCTTTTTTTTGATGACTTCTTCGGGCGTTAGTTGTAATCTGAGGGCCGCATAAGGACATTTAATTTCTACAATTTGATTTGTTCCTACCAGACCGTCTGGAGAAGCCCCCACAAAATAATTTTCTGGGTCAATAAACAAACCACAGGGTTCAATATCCGCAGGTTTTTCTGTCAGCTGAAGTTCGGCTTTTGCAATACGTTCAGAATGTTTTCCATGATCAAGTGATCTAGCTTTTATGTTTTGTGACTTATACAAAATGTATTAAACTAATTTTGCACTATTAGAGTTTTTCTTTCGTTTGCAAACTCTAGCAAAATTAGAGGCAATTAATAGTTTTCTCCTTTCTTCGATCCATTTCCCTGTGCTGTCTCGAAAGACTGTTTTTCTTTCAATGTGGGCTATTTCATCTTCGCTCTTGACCATTTTTTTTTAAATTCTTCTCCCATAACCTTAAAAATTTCTGGAGGTAGATCAGACTTATGGCAATTTTCACCATAATCGGGATCATTATTAGTTCCGCTCCGTTGTTCCCGACTTTTCCCTTTATACTTTTTAGTTAAAAGCCACTGTCTCCTATTTTTTGCGTTCGTCGCATTTCAATTCGTCTGATAATTTTAGAATTATTTTCATTGCATACATTTTGCAATGTAGTATGACATTTTCTTGTATTATGCGAAACTACCGCACCCATGCATCTACTCCTGTATGAATTAGAGAAAGAGTAATTAATTAAATTAATAAAGTGTCGATAATTTTATGGATGTCACTTGAACTAAAACTCACCAATACGGATCGAACTGGTATCACTTTGAAAATTAGTAATAACTTCTTCAAAAATATTAACCGATTCTGAACAATTTCCACTAGTGGAAGACAAAACATCTGCAGTGGAATCCTGAACAGTTGCAACAGTCGTTCCAGCTTTATTCTTCTAAAATTAATTAAATTACGTACGCTTTATTACAACACTAAATAATTATAACATTTACCTGAGAATCTCTCCATCTTTGAAGTGCGGTGGCATTTCCACGATTCCTTTTCGTGGAAGACAGTCGTTTTCTGGAAGCGTTATCTCTTGCCATAATAAAACGTATTAAATCGTATCCAGGAGCCTAAAATAATATATAAATAAATTAATTAAAAGTGTTCGGAATAAAGCAATTAAAAATAATAATTTTCAAATTATACCGCACTGTATAACATAGTATACTGTCAAAACAAATTTTTTAAGTGTCTTAACTTCGATAACTTAGCTCACTCTAATAAAAATCTCTCTCTTGCAATTACAAAAACCCAACTGTCCGGATCTTATAGAAGGGATTGCCATAAATCAACCCAGGCACAAACGGCGGCTAATTCTAAGGTGACCAGACGTACTCCTTTGAGGAGGACAGTCCTCCTTTCATGTATGCTGTCCTCCTAGCGTAAATGTCCTCCTCGTGTCCTCCTCAAATAAAAAATATCCTCCTTTTTGATTGATCAATTAAGTTGCTTTACTTTTTTACGGTTTACGTTACTTCTATGGTAAATTAATTTAAATTAGAAAATTTACTGTAGTTGTGTTGGTATTCCGAGTGCAAACCTCAGTAAATTGACAAAACATACAGAAGATCTTGATGTTATGAATTGGACTTTACTGAGATCAAATTTTACGTGGGAAGAAGTTCAGACGACGATACAATTTGCATTGGAAAAATGTAATTGTGTTATTGACGACAATCGTTTATTCGACGCAATACGGAGATTACAAATTTATTGCAACACAAGAGTGGAACGAACAAATAATGGACTGTGATAAAAGATGGCTTGATGTATTCAACCATTTTAAAAATCAGTATATTCCGTGTGAAAATTTAAAAATATTAGTTGAATTATTTCTTTGTTTGCCAGGCACAAACAAGTCGGTCGAAAGAGTCTTCTCCATTGTTAATGACGTTTGGACTACCGAAAAATCGCGCTTAACAGTAGAGACTCTTTCGGCAATGACTGTTGTAAAATGTAACATTAATATGACATGTCAGGAGTTTTCTAAAATGTTATCAGAAAATGAAGTACTTTTAAAAAAAAATCATTCTAGTGATAAGTATACATAGTAATTTCTATAGTTTACCTTATTAACCCATGTAAATTAGTATTAAAAAGTTAAAAAAAATCCATGTGTATTTTATTATTATTATTATTATTACGCGTCCTCCTCAGCAGTTTTGAAATTCTGGTCACCTTACTAATTCTGATGGTCTGTTGTAAATCAAAATAAGACGAAGAAATTTCAGATGGTTAATCGTTACGTCTTAGGCCCGGTTTTACAATGTATAGTTAACTATCAAGTTCGAGTTAACTTCAAGTTAAATTTTTGAATGAGTTTTACAAAGCGTGGTTATGAAGTTAACTACTAGTTCCCTCGACCACCACTTCGACTGCTGGTTAACTTGGAGAATGAAATGACTAGAAGTTGTACGTCGGCGCATAAAATACGTCACTTTCGTTGACAGTCGCGGACATTAACCTTTTAAACTGGTCTGTGCTTTTAGTGTGTAATTAGTGTTGGATCATCTTCTTTACTTTTATACTTGTAATGGATTACCTTATGGATTTTGACATTAATGCATATAGTAGTGACGAAGAACAATTTCCCAGACGGCCAAAAATAATACGGAATCGACCAAATCATTTTGAAGAATGGGATGAAACTGACTTCATTGCAAGATTCCGATTATCGAAAAGAACGACGGAAAATTTGATAGAGGAAATAGAGGAATTAATTACACATCCGACTGAAAGGTAATTTTGTAAAAATTAATTTTTAACAAATCAAAATATTAATATCCTTTTTGTTTAATAGGAATGACTGTTTATCAGCCGAAAACCAAGTACTTCTGACCCTAAGGTTTTTAGCAACCGGCTCATTTTTAAGTGTAGCTGGTGACTTTTGTGGTGTACACAAGTCGACAGCGAGTAGGACCGTAAAAAGAGTAACCGTGGCATTAGCAAATTTAAGGCATCGGTACATAAAAATGCCACAAACCTATGAAGAAATTTTAACTTGTAGGCAACAGTTCTTCAATATTGCAAGATTTCCACGATGTATAGGAGCTATTGACTGCAGCCATGTAAAAATACAGTCGCCTGGTGGAGATAGTGCAGAGATTTTTAGAAATCGTAAACAGTTTTTTTCGTTGAACGTTCAGACGGTGTCAGACACTAATTTAAAAATTTTGGACATTGTGTCACGTTGGCCAGGATCTGCACATGATGCACATATATTCCGGAATTCTGCACTATGTGCAAGATTCGAAATGGGCCAATTTAGAGATAGTGTATTGGTGGGTGATAGTGGTTATCCAGTTAAAAAATATCTGGTCACCCCACTATTAAATATAAATTCTAATGCAGAAAATTTATACAACGAGTCACTCATTAGAACCAGGAATGTCGTCGAAAGAAGTTACGGGGTGTGGAAAAGGAGATTTCCGTGTCTGGCAATGGGGTTGCGATTAAAGTTAGACACCGTTCAAGCACTTACTGTCGCTACAGCAATACTTCACAATGTAGCAGTAAATGAAAATGACATCTTACCAGCTGTAAACCCTGAACAAGAAGCAGCAATAAACATTGTAAACAATGTTGATGAAGAATTATTAGCTACACAGGCAGTTGGTTTAAATTACAATTTAAACAACCAATCTCGTTTGAATTTAATAAATAACTATTTTGCACGTTTATAAAATGTTAATATGTAGTATTAATTTACATTTGCACTGTATATAACTTTTTAATTGTTTTTATTGTTTCACATGATTTGCTTAACGTTTTTTTAATTGTTTAGTGCTGTACTTGATGTTCATAATAAAACTACTCTAGTGACTCCACTTTTGTTTTATTGTTTAAAATTACGCAATTGTTTTTGCTTCAATCTCAACTCCGTTTTCAATATCGCCATTTTTAACTGATGTTCTTCCAAAAACTTTTGTTTTTGCAGCTTGATGAACTCAAGTTTCGCGTCAATGATAGGATTAGAATAAACTTTTTTTCCTTGGTTAACTCCAACTGAAAAATTCACAGAATTCATTTTGTGGACTTTAAAAACAATGCAACTTACATCTACTTTTCCCCCTTAATTTTTTGGAAGTTTGTTGAGAGAGTTTTTTTTGGACAATATGCAGTCCAGTCAGTCTCTATTTCCTCCACGCCTTCTTGTCGATTACTTCCCGAAGGTCCTGGGACAATCTGTTCATATTCTGCCATCACATATTCCTCAATACTAGGGGGGTTATGAACTAAAAAGTGAAGATAAAAAATATTATTTCACGACTAATTATATGTATTTATATATATATAGGTATACCTATTTCATTATCACAGTCATAACTACTGGGAAGCCCTTCAACTTGGACACCCATTAACTGTTTAACTTTTGCTTCTACTGGATTCAGCTCTTTTTCTTCGCTATCTCCTCCACCAGTTTTTCTAAAGCTCAAAATAATTTTTGAATTTTTTTCTTTAGTTTTTTTCTTTAAATTGTTATATTTGTCCCTCAATGTTTTGGTAGATCTGGCTCCACTAGTACTATTGGCATTGAACAAATCAGTCACTTTTTCCCATGCCTTTTCTTTATCTTTCCAGTGCTGAGCCCCAGATTGCTTATTCTCTATGACGTCTTTATTTTCTGCTATTATATCGATAAGTAAACTTTCGTCTTCTTTCGAAAAATTTGCGCTTCGCTTACTGCTGTCTTTTTTATCCATTCTACAATTATATATAGGTAATCAAATACTTTGTACATTATAAAATATTGTTAAAACAATTAATATAGTGCTATTTGATTGTTTCATACCTTTGTAGACAGTTTACACAATAACTTTATGAAAAGAAAATGTTATTGCAATTTTCAATCACAATATAAAAAAAAACCAAGGAACTAATATAACGCGTGTATTCAAAACGTCAACAAAATATGACAACACAGATGCGAGCGAACAGCTGACTCGCCGCGCATGCTTACAAGTACACTGTTGAGTACCAACGAAAGGAAATTTAATATTAACTTCTAGTTCCCCAACCAACAGTTGGAACGGGATTGAAAGACGCATTACTGATTTAACTATTAGTTAACTGTAACTACTAGTTGGCTGACCATCACTTTTGACCAGCGATTGTACAACCGGGCTTTAAATACTCAATTATTTATTAAAATTTTAAGTTCCGATTTTCAGCAAACTAATTTTAAACATAGTATCTATACGAGCGTTTTTGCAAATTATTACTTTTCGATTGATAAAGCCTTAAAGGTAAACCTATGGTATGATATTTGGTCTAATTATGCCCTTAATTGACCCTTTTCCTGTAAGATCGTAAAACTTCCATAGTGACTTTCCGTGCGCACGCATCTTCAAAACCACGTTGGAAATAGTATCCGGCACTACGGCAGCAGAGCAAAGGCCTGTGACAACAAACCGCTTTGACAGAATGCAACCGGAAACACATGCGTAATCTGTTGCCCATTGGTTAATTTTAACTTGGCGCTCCAAAAATCTGACTTCGCCTGCGCGATGTTGTCTCACTCTGTATCATTGGAATTTATATAATATCTACTCACTTTGCTTACAAGAAAAGGGTCAATTTCGAAATGATACCGAACGAAAATTTAAATTTTTCTAAATCCGTTCTGTTGAGAATATTAAGAACATTACATACATATAAAATTTTAGTCAATATTGTTGATGGTTCGCAAGATATTTGTTCGGGTAGATGTATTGAATCTCCCATAATAAAAATACGGAAGGAATCCTCTTAACCGAATGTCAAAAATTTGATTGAGGTTGTACGCAGGACAAGAGTAGCGGAAGTTGGACTATGTGTCATATTTGAAATGGTTAGATCTTTTTCATCATAGCCCTTCATGGCGGAAATTTCGCGCCTTTCTCCCCCTTCAAGGAAAAACCTTCGAGAAGCCGTCTTAGGGTTTTTAACATGCGTTTCTTCAGTCGCCATTAGTCTTTTTGGCTAAAAAATTTTGCCAGTGCGGAAGTGCTGGTGTTGTCCAGGAATTTTGAGAAATTTGCGCTCGCCAGTGGATGGGATTGTCCGGGCAAACACCACCCAGTTAGACTCGGTCCAGGCAGAGATTTCTTAGTAAGCTAGATACGGCTATGGGCAGCAAAGTGTGGAACAACATGTATGAAAATAGTGTCGACATACTTTCAGTTCTCTGTCTTTCTCTTACTCGTTGTAATGTGCACTACATACTAGTGTTATCTTCTTCTAATTCTAGCGACTGTTAACATTGGTTGATAATTTGGCGCACTGATTTAAAATGAGAGAAAAAGAGAATCATAACTTGAGTTTTTTAACAAGTGGCAAACGAAAAGTTTCTAAGCAATCTCCAAAATGATTTGTAATGTTAAGATTAAAATATTACACGGACCAAGATCGTTGGAATAAATTTGACTGTCGACTTCCCTTTTTTCGTACCTTTTCTTTATCATTCACACCGGCGAAACTCTTGAAAAATGACATAATACAGTTTTCTTATAGTCAAAAGTTTTTGTTGCCACGAACGTTTCTAACATAAGTAGAGAATCGTATTGTATTTATTTGCATGCACAATGTTGAGAGCTTAAAACGAAAAAGAAAAAAGACGTACAGCTGTGGTATAAATTTATTAACATTATTATTATTAAATATAGGTGATTTAATGTAATCGTAGTTACTCATTATTAAATAAAACGTACTTCACTAATGTACTTCTTATTTTCGCCTGTTTTGAAGCAAAATTTACCAGTTTCGCTTCGGGATTGCCTTCATCAATTGTATTTTTTGATTATCTAGTAATCCCTGAGAAATGCAATGATTGTTCATGTCGGGATTATTAAAAATGTTTGTAGTATTTTTGCGAAACAAAAGTAGCAGCAAATAATTGACAACATTTGCTTTCTTAAATACAATATTTTTGTTTTCGCAAAATATGGTCTCCATTATTTTCAAATGTCTATAACATCTCGCTTGGCCATTGTTAAATTTCCTCGTTTTTTTAAATTTAATAATATAGAATCTGAAAATGTTGATTTCAGTTGTTTTTTACAAACTGAACATGTGATCTTGGCTTCAATTTGTTTCACAACAAAACCTGCTATGTAGTCGACCACTTGTTCTTTGTACGGCGATAGATTTCCAATAATTGAAAAACAATAATCATGGTCTCTTTCTGGCAGATTAATAGCATTTATGTCTTCAATTAATGTGTCATTGTAACATATTCTGGTGCCGCTCCCTACACGTAAAATAGTAGTGCCATCTAAAAGATGACAATTACCACTTTTTATGGCTCATATTTGGTTTCTTACTAATAGCCTTTTGTAGGCACTTTTCAACTGGTAGGGGGATGGATTGTTGTTGTGACCACCTCGCTGCCTAATGGCCCCAAAAAATATTTCCAAGTGGTCTTGGCTCGATTTGTAGGTTAATATATATTTTAAATATTTTCCTACCACTAAATTTTTATACAAATTGATTAAGCTTCTCATACTTATAATGAAGCCTAAAAATCCCGTTTTTCTTTTCGACTCTATTATTAGTTTCCCAAAGTTATCTTTTAACTTACTCACATAAGTATTCAATAGAAAATTGAATTATCTCAAGGATGTTGTCAAAATTGTTTGAAGATAGATCACGATTCAATTTTGTCTTTGATAATAAATGCTTAGAGTTAAGAATGTCAAACATGTTATTAAAAATCAAGCAAAAATTGGCAGTGGCTGCACAATTTTCAAACCCCTGAATTTTCAGCTGCTTGCAAAATTTCAGTGCACTGCAAACACTTGCACTGAGTCTGTACAGCATATGATACTTTCATTTTTTCATTCTGAAAGTTTGTATGTCTCGGTGTCAATTTTGTTCCACATCGCAAACCCTCTCTTGTTTCCAGCTGTTGTAATTTCTCAATATATACCCATTCAATTGCATTTCCATCAGTCATAGAAAACCTTTCTATCTCCAAGTGCATTTCTGATTAATTTTATAAGATGACAAGCATCTAAAAATGTTTACTGCTGCACCATCAAAAGTGAGTGATCTACACATGGCGCCAGTTTCCTTAATTAACTCCAAACATTTTTTTAACAAACGAGATCTTGCAGAGGCTGAAAGACTGTTTATTAAAAAATATCCCAGAGGTATTTTCCAGTGTGACTTCAATGATACCCCCATGAAAACAAGAGCATTTCTTGCTTTATCTTTTTCGTCTTCACCTTCTCTTTTTGTTTCCATTCCCAAGTCCACATATCCATAATATACAGCTTGCACATAACTGAAACATTTGTCGTATTGACATCTCATCCACAGTAAGATTGAGAATGACAATACCTTCCTCCTCAACTTTCGACTTAATTGCAACAAAACTTTCCTTGGTGAAGCCAGGTGCTCCTTCCACAACCATATACCATTCTCGGATTGTGTCTGGGTGGGGCAATAATTTATTGAACTCTTCACGGACAAAATTATATGCACTTGGTGAATAATAGTGTAATGTGAGTGCAAATGCTCGCAGTTCCACTGTAAATTTTGCATTTCTCGACACAAATTGTCTTTCTAAAATATGTTGAACTGCATCAGGGGTTTCTTCCTATAAAGTAAATAAAGAAATAAAAATTATTCCAAATGGGGAGTTTGTTGGCAGCACTTTTTTAATAAAAAAGGGAATTTTTCTTGCGTTTATGTTTATACTATGTGGAATAATATTGATCTGATTAAATTAACATTCTACGTAACAAACAAGTTTCCAAAAAATTAACGAGGAACTATTGAATTATTCCACATTTCATTAAAACTAATACACATCTAAATTATTCTTATATATAAGTACCATAATAGCTGCAGCTGCCTCTTCTGATAAAAGATTATTTGTCCAAAGATGTTCCAGCAATTGTTTTAGTGAAGAAATACAATCTTGTAGCTGTTTTTTCTCCTTTGTTAATAACTTTTTTTTTTCTTTTGTCATCCATGGCTCTTTTTACAAAATCAAGATGTCTTTTTGCTTTTCTGGGAGTAGCAAAATCTTCTGGCACCAAATCACCAACATATCGAGGAGTTTTAATACTACCCACAATTACGTGACTTTGTGGTTTATCTGCACTAGGAGTTTCAATTGTGTCTATAGATGAAGATGCTGTAAAATGTACTCAATACATATACCTAATTGTAAAACCATTAATGGAGTTACGTTACCTACTGTACCAGATTTATTCTCTATTGGGAAATTCAGACCACTTGATCCTGGTGCAATAGGAAGTTGCGCCAAAGTGTCCCTGCGCCAAAATGTCTCGCGCCAAGTCGCCCGGCCGAATTGTCCTAGACCGGATAAAATGATTTTACCATCAGATATCTTATCAGATATTAGCCAAAATATAAATCAACAGAAAAAAAGTAGGGCTACAAAGGCAATTATTATTACCGGTACACCGTATAAAGAAGAACTTGAGACCAGTCAGTCAAGCAAGTCTACCCGTGTAGCAAAAGTGAAGACGCAAATCAAGTTTAATACTGCTAAGAAACGTAGTGCAAAAAGAGATCTCTGCGATCAAAATATGCCTTCTACTTCTGGCTTAAGGCTGTACGTCCCTAGTATCAAGCCCTATACCAAATACATGCAAACCTTAATGACTTCTCATTCGAACAATATCGAATTTGAAGCGATGCTGATTTTTTTAGAATAGCCAGTGTATAAATGTAGGGCAGAATAATTTTATTATGACAATTAATGCAACAGGTTATTACAAAAAAAATAATTTTATCGAAACTTTGATTACCTTTTTGGGCGTTATAACATATTTTTTTCTACAGAATTGTATCACTAATCGATAGCTAATATTGATATTTTAAATATTACAATCATTCTATTGGCAACTATCTATGAGAGGATAGTTATGAACCGCAATAAAATGCACCCCACGCTTTTTACTCTGAATTGAATTATTCTGTTAATAACTTAAATTTTATTATAATTTTAATTTGAGGTGATTTATTATGATTGATTGTTTGATCTTCTACTACTGTAATATTAAACTCTGTCATTAAAAATTATTTTCTAGTTTTTAGTTCGATTAGCAATAAAAGCGTGTTTTTTTAGTTTTTTGAACTATTATTTATTTAAATATGAAATGCCATTATTATATCAATTCAGTACTTATATCCTCATTTGAAGGAAAATTCGTTATTTTATTGCCGCTTGCACTAGGATAAATTGTCTAGTATGTTTATCAATCTAACTGTGAAGCCTGTTCTTGACAATATTTGTCTAGAAAAAACGGACATGGTTAAGGATTTACAATTACCCCAAAAGCCATTAACCCATTACTGCCCACCGTATGATTTTTCATACCATATGAACGGGACTGTTTGAGGTTAGGTACTTAAAACAAAAGACAACGAACCGGCTTTTGAAATATATCAAACTCTACCTTTTTTAATGGTCTTTCGAGTGCTTATTCATTGGAGATTGTTTAAAACAAAGTTACATTATCATATTGGTTTTTGCAAAACGGTGTCCTTCATTGTTTGCAGAATGAGTAAG